GGAAATAACTTGGAGCTCTCCAACTCATTACTGAAAACTGAGAAATGTAACATTGCATGAGTTTTGTTGCTAGTTTACTCATTTGTGAGAGGGAGTGGTAAGGATAAGAGAAAATAAAATTACAGCTCAGTTTGGATCTGCTTCATTTTATTCTAGTTCTTTATGGTTTTGCCGTGCAAAACCAGCAAACTATACAATTTGAAAAGCAAGCTTCATTTCAAGATTAAGTTACTTTATTAATTGCTGTGCTTGTTTGTAGTACCTTAAAAGCTAATAGGTCAGTCTATGTAACTGACCTTTGAATGGAAATTTTAGTAATTTCAGACCTGCTTTAGAAAATATTTCTTGCTTTGCACCAGCTTTTAAATCAAATCCACTAAAAAGATCTGAATGCTGATTAAATATCACTGCTAATAATGTTGCTTCATACCTGAGCCCTGCTTTTGTCTAAGAGTGGTTCTGGATTAGCTAAGAATTACTAAAGATGAGTTGGAAGTTGTAAGTATTCCACTCTTCCTTATACATACCACCTTTCACCCTCGTACTTGTTTTGACATAAATAGGTCAGAAGGAGAAGAGCTTTCATTAGAGGAGGAAAAAAGCTGTTCAAGTAGCTTATAAATTGAACCAGGTTTCATATGGGTGTTTTTCCAGGTGTGCATGCACATGTCTCAAGGCTGGTCCATTCTACATCCAGTACGAGTATTACTCATTTATATATATATACCACACTGCTCTTGGCAATGCAGTTATGCAAATGTTTTGTGTGGTTTTGAAACTTCTATCCTTTTTGCAGTTGTTGAACTTAGCCAGACAGTCCAAAATACATTAGTATGGGGAACAGACACACAAGCAAACTTAATTGATAAGAATGAATTTTAAGTTATGCCTGAAAACTCTGCTTTAGAAGAAGCATCATGGAGTAGTAACAGTCATGCCAGTTGTTTAAGATTATAACAGGAATAAATGGTGGTCTTAGTTCTTTTATGACAATTGTTTGGGCATTTACAAAACCAGAACTCCTGTATCCAGCTCAAATAGCGCTTTCCAAACTGGGTGTAAAATAAACTATTTGAATGGTTTCCAAAGATTAGTGCTGTTTTCCAGAAGTGATACTGTATTACAGTGAATTGGATTCTTCCCTGTGTTGAGGTTGTCAGAATTCTTTTTCAGCCTATTGGCTATTTATAGTGTATGTATAATTAATCTCCAAAAAGTATGTAGATATGAGAAAGTGATTCTAAGATTTATTCTAAGGTCTAAGTTTTAGAGAAACTACCAGATAGGAGTATTTAATTCTGAGCAAGAAATACTGAAGTCTGGTAAAATATCATGCATTGAACCATGCTTTTTTAAGGAGAGTTTTGTGCAGTCAGAACACCACAGTTCAAAATTGAATGTTTATGGCATGCAGCATAGCTGAGGTGGTGATAAGGACACTTCTGTTTATGTGCTCTTTCTGATTGTCACTTGAAAGGGGGAGAGATTTTTCTACCCGTAGTGTTTGATTTATCTCTCAATACCCGAGGAAAGCTGAGACCCTTGTGCCCAACCAGTCCAACCATAACTCTCCCGCTAATGTACAGAGTGGTCAGTTAATGTCCACAAGGTTACATCCTTTTCACCAAAAGGATGCCCCAGTCATGTTTTGCTGACACGTGAAGCCGTAAGTTGACGATATCCATGTGTTTACCAGGCTCCAAGGATAGTCTTTCCTGATTAGAGATTCGTTAGCTCTGTTTCTGAATCTGCCTACACAAGGGCAAAGCCTCCTCTCCCACTATCAGTTCTTTGTTTGTCAGTGTTGTTCACCCTGACCTTGTAGGAGGCTCTTTTATCTGTTCAGGCTTCTCCATCGTAACACGGGTTTCAACTTTTTAATTCTATGCCTATGGAGCTTGAGTGACTCTAGTCATACATACTATGTTACTGATGGGTGTAAAGTAAGTCCTCTCACTTTGCTTTTAGAAATACAAATATGGTTTCCTTGTTTGGCAGCCACTGTGTGGTTTATCAGTACATGGTGCTTTCAAGTTCCCGCTCCTGCAGGGAATATAACAGAGCCTGGCTCCAGGGCCATCGTTCAGCTCCACTTTCCATTCAGTTTCTCTTAACATATGCCAAGGTTGCAGGGTTGCCTGGAGAACTGTCACCAGGTAGGTTCCATGCATGCCAACCGCATCCCATCCTGGAAGTAGCAGCTGCATTTTACCCTGAAGTTTCCTTAGTGTTATAATATAACTTTGGAGGTCTGTGGGGAGGTGGTCTCTAATTTCCCCCATTTTCCCACACTGATGTGATGAGGTTGTAGGTAGAATACAATTTCCAACAAGTTGTAATTTATGATCAAGCTTTTTATATTCTTTATACACATTTTCTATGGCAAGTAAATCATAATTCTATTGCAGTGGGATATAGATGAACATGTTCTGGAAATGCTTTTTCATAATATATTGCTGAATCCTCCACAAAAATATGTTTATCTCAGAAGCAGGAGAAAATATGTTTCTGTATGGATGTCTCCTCATAGAAACAGTAACAGCTGTTGGTTGAACTACACTTTCCTCTAAGTAGAGGATATCTTCATGGGACTGCAGTTCTTGGATACATTTTTTCCCGTCTCGCCCTCCTTGGCAAAGGCAGGATGGGAGACTATTCTGCCTGTGTAACATAATTGGAATAGAGATAATGCAGAAGGAGGAAATTTTAGCCAATCTCAGCTGGAGCAAGACGGAAGTTAACCTGAGCAGTTTAGACTTCCTGATTGAAACAAGATTCTCTGGTGGTTTTTCAGCAAACTTGTGAGCTCAACTGGCTCTGACTGTCACTTGGCAACGAATATATGTAATGTAGAAGGGAGTGTGCTAGGAGAGACCAAGACCACAGCTCTTGGCAGCAGCAAAGAATTACGTTTAAGTGCAAGTGTGAAACCACATTCTGACTTATCTTATTAACACCATTAGTCTGAAACCCAAGGTAAGCATGTTGCTCTTTGAACCTTTAGCCATGGTTAACCTATCACTTCCATTTGAAAACAGTTATTTAACTTTAGCAGAACTTTACAATATATGAGTTCGAAGCAAATGCCAATTGTAGGTAAATTTGAATATTGTTCTTTGTGCCACAAAGATATGATTTGAGCTGTATTATTTGATCTTGAGAGTTAGCATATGGAATTGTTCTTACATGCTTGAGTATCTGTAGGACAGAGCCATAAGCATGATACAAAGACTGAAAGTTGTGTACTTTCAAAGTATCTTGCTTGTGTCATTTTTGGTTTTAGCATTTGGAGGCAGAAGGTGTCATTAACTGCAGTCGTCTTATGCTTGCTACTTTAAGACTAATATATTGCAGAGATACTGTTTAATATGGACATTGGAGTAATTTGCATGGGTTTAAATTGATTTTTTTTTAAGACAGTGGCTGTAACTAACAACAGCTGTTTATAGATGAATTTCAAAATAACACTAATAAAGTATCATGTAACTTTTAGGCTGTAAAACAAACTTCCCTATATTCAAAGCTAGGAGGTAAGAATCAGTCTGTAGATTTCTTTATTTGATGACCAACTTGTTTTAAAATTGGCTGCTTTTGTAATAGAGGTGGTCTAGGTAGCAAAACAATTCAGAGGATGGAATGAAAACTTTTCATGGCAGCAACAATAAAGAACACTTCCTTTCTAAAGTGGTAAAACATCTTTTTTTCTCTGTGTGATTCCTCGTGATACTAATAAATTCCCAAGCACTAATAAATTTAAGCTAACATTTTAAAAAGTGATGGTAGGTGTATATTATATTGTGTATGTTTATATTTACACAGTATCGTAACACATAAATACTTCTTTCATTCTTTATCTTTCAAGGCTGCTGAAACCACTCAAAATGATACAAGTGATTCATCAGGGGAAGGAAGCAAAAGAAGCATTCATTTTCTGCCTAATGAAACAAACCTAGATTCTCAACTAGAAAACAAAGACTTAAATACCAAAGAAAAAAGTGATCCAGGTGTGGATGAAGACGATGTAGAGGGAGATTCTTTTTTTGATGATCCTATACCCAAACCAGAAAGAACTTATGGCTGGTAGGTAACATGCAAGTTCTACTTCATACAGGTTAATTTTTGTCCTCAGTGTACTTGCAGACCTTTGAGAGCTATCTGGTGTTTGATTATTCACACTTGTAAAAGTGAGAGTTTAGATCTGTTCTGTAACGTTTTGTTTCTGAAATGTGCATTTCTATGAATCTGTTCTTTGCAATGCACAGTGTAATCTGGGATCTCTTGGATGTACCAGAAGTAGAAAAACCTGTATCACTTTAAGGTATGTTATGTAAACTGTATAATGTCCCCAGCCTATTTCTTTGGTGCAGTAGACATCTGAGGCACAGACATCAGTATTTCTTCTTGCAGCAGAGCTGCAGTGATGATCAGTACTAAAGGGATAGTGCTTTAGGTATCTCTGTGGAGAAGTGCTACAAGATCATTTCAAAGTGTTCTTTTGCTGTCTTTGAGTAATTGGGGAATTGCTGTAGTTTAGTAGAGGTTACCAGAAGAGGTTGCAGAAGGATTTGCAAGTTTGAAAGCTCTCCTCATGTTGGCTTTTTCCCCAGTTGTTGGCAGAACAGCATAAACTTTTTGTATTATCACTGCAGTAGGTGCTTACTTCTGGAATGGCACCATTCTGGTACAGCACAAAGCATTCATGCCAAGTAAACTTGATCTGGTTTTAGTAAACTAATGAACTGTTTGAGAAAGATTATTTATGATACAGCTTTCATTGGATGTATTTATTTGGAACAGAATTTTTTTCCTCAAAGAGCAGTGATTTTTCTCATGGAAAACATTGTGTGTTACAAATAACCCTACTATGGTATTTCTTTTCTCTTACTGGAAATATCAAGATTAAAACTGCATCTGAGTGCATTTACTCTTCCTTCTCAGGAGCAAATGTCACTAGCCTTTAACTAAAGTCTAACCATCCTAGCAGGAGGTGGTATTGCCATAAAATAGGTTTAAATTATAAGTTGGGAAAACTAGAAAAGACTTGAGAAAGTTCTGGATAATAATGATATTTACTAATTTCTTACTGTTTGAGCATTTTCATATGAGAGGATGGGAAATTCACTTTGAAATTAGGTGAACAGTCTTTCTTTAAAAAGACCATCTGAGAAAAAAACTTAACTATTCAGTAAAACAAGGATTTTATTCCTAGAAGAGAAACTTCCTACAGAAAAACTGATTTCCAAATTATGTCTGTAGTGGAGTCACAGTCCACCAAGTAGTAACTTGAACCTCATCAGGTTTTTGTAATACAGTTGTTATAGTAAGGTTTGCTGAATATTTTTTATGAGGTACAAACTAATTTTAACTGAGCTGTCTCTGCTGGGTCTTTTGCTTCTGCCCTCTTGGTAGCTTCTCTAGAGAAGAAAAAAGATCATACTCTTCAGGTATTCTTTTGTAGTATGTTGTGCTGGTGTGCCCAAGTCCCAAGGGATGAGTAAATAGGAGAGGCGCCAGCATTGTTTGGTATGCAAAAAGGTAAATTCCTTATGGAATCTTTTCTCATTCCCGTAAGAAGGGTGCATTAGAGAGGAAGGGAGCAAGCAGTTACTAAGGACAGAATAAGAGATGATCCAAACTTTCTTTGTCCTTCAGCCTCTGACCTGTTATTCAGAATTTGGAAATGTTTACATATGTGCTGATATACATGATATTTTGGTGATATATAATGAATGATTCAAATTTTGTCCATTACTAATAGGAATAGAATCACAGTAACAGTTCTGGCAATACTAAATGTGTAAATCTTGATCTCTTTTAAATAATCTGTCTTCATTGTTTACTTTCAAGTAAGCGATTTGAACTCAACACTTAAAATATGCAAATGGAATAGGTAGTAGCCGAGTGAACTTTACCACATGATGATGAGATCTATCTTGCTATAACTAAGAGATTTTCATTCTGTGAACTAACTGCTTTTAGGGTTTATAGTTTTGTCAGACATAATCTCCTTTAGTTCTAAACCAAACTAATTTAAATACTAATTTATATCTGAATCTTTCTTCTTTTGGCTGCATTTACATGTGGGGATAACGAAAGGTCCCTTGATAAAAGCAGTGATTCTGATGAAGTTGCAGGATCTCTGTCTGTGAAAGAAGGCAGACAGAAGTCTTTGCATAGGTGAGAAAGTGACTTTCTTACTGAACATCTTGCTTGATGCTTGTGCCAGTGAACTGCTTATTGTTTCTAAGTCTGTAGAATAAATAGTTCTTTCCTCTTGCTCTTTTTGCTGTAATAGTGCTGTCCTAGTTTTACGGCAGTTTAGTAAATATAGAAGAGAGTCACTATGCACATCTTACAGTTCTGTAGAGTACTTATTTATTTGGTTTGTTCTAGGAAAACTGAAACTAATAAAGCAGGAGGTCTAGCATCCCTTTCTGACGCACCGCCTCTAAAAAGTGGATTAAGCTCCCTGACTGGTGCACCTTTGCTAAAGGAGTCTGATAGTAAGTTTTCACTTATTTTGTGTTCTGGTGACTGTAGGAGAGATTCTCCATAATGTAATGAATGATCTACATGATCGGATACAAATCTGATTATGTATATGGCCCCCTTCTGGTTATAACATGCTTTTTCCACTGAGTGATCACATACTGGTTTTGATGTATTATTGGGATAATTATGTTTTGAAGCATGAAATTCTCATCTACATGGATTTTTTTTTTTTTGTGTAAAAAAGCAGTTTTCAGGAATATAAAATTCTACTTACTCCTTTCTATTGTTATCTTACAGTATTTGTATAAGTTATTTAGGAATGTTTGCCTTCATGTTGTAAAACCTGATCCTGAACACTGAGAGATTGTCCCTGTTTGCTACTTGTGTTTTTAAATGTTAGCAGAGTTCAGACCTGAAAACTGGATATAAAATGACTATACTACACTATAAATTTATATAGGGTTAGTAATAAAAGAACACTTCTTATAAATGGCTGATGGGTATGTTTAAGTGGAATCTTATTAAAGAGTCACAGTCAAATTTCTGATAGAAATGCTTTTGTTTTGGTACAGATTTGCATAAAAACAGTGTTTTGAAAGACCTCCAGTTGGTGAATGCAAAACTGGGATCACTAGAATTAGGCAAGTAACTCTTTTGAGGAAGCTCTGATATTTTTAGCTGTAAGCTTTGGCTGGGTTTCTTAGAGGTGTTTGAGAAACTGAAATAAATAGTGAAAGAAGTAAAAGCTTTTAATGAAGATTTTAATTCAGTATGTTTAACACTGCTGTAGAACTTTATGGAGTTAAGAGCAAGCTATGATCTAAAGGAATACAGAAAAGTGAAAACTGGTGTCTTGTATGTGGATTGGTATTTTACACATGCAGCAATAACTTGATTCATTCCATGCATGTTTGCTAATATCAAGTGCTAAATTCTGTTATTTAGGTTTCTAAGAAAAGAGGGGGTATATATTTGTGGAAAAAAATAGCCAGACAAGTCTTACTGGTTTTCAGTGATGTATTCCCTTGCCCTTCACACCTTTTGAAAGTTGCCCTGTAAGCTCTAGGAGCAATATGATGTGATATAAGAACTGTCAGCTCTATCACAGAATAGAGCTGCCAAGTATTTAGATTTCATCTTCAGCAATATGGACAACATCCTGAAAATTTATGTTCAATTTCGAACCAGTTTGTGTAAATGAGGTTGAGATTTATTAATGACAACCATAAAGTAATGTTCTCTTCCTAATCTAATTTAGTCTACTCCCACTTTTGCTGGCTGTCAAACCATGTATTTTGGTGCAGGAATGTATTCTTTTGCATTTCTTAAATGGTTTGATTGATACCTTTTTAAAAATTATTTAGGAAATGGAGATGATGACGAGTATGCTGATGACTTCAACAGGTAAGAGAAGGATGATACTGCAGTACCATAATATTTCATGCATTATAAGGATATCTACTAGCATATTGGAACTATTTCATGATATTTATCTGATCACTATTGCTGGAATATGTCAGTATCTCTGAACTCCTTTAAACTTGTTTGCTATTTTAATACATATAGAAAACCCAAGCAAACAACCCCCCAAACCAATAGATCCCTTTAGTGCAGGGGGTAGTAAGTTCGTTTAAGACAATAAGTTGTTGCTTTTTTTGTGGAAGGTGTTTGGGGTTTTTTTCCTGAACACTTAACAATGTTTTAACTATTAAATGCTGTTAGACAATGAATACAGTGTATGCTGAAATACTAAATTAAAAATAAAGCATCATGAGTAGTCAGTAATAAATATTTAACAGCCTCATGATGTAAAAGTGTGGTGTTATAAGATGCAGGGGTGAGGCCTAAGTATTTATCAGTATGTGTCATGGCTGCATCTAGGTAGAAAGCCTTTAGTTAAGGGTTTTTAAGTAGCTTCATATTTAACTTGCTAGGAAGTGAAATCCTGATCAAATGTGAGGTATAAAGTAAAAGTGAATGTAATAGCTGGATGTTCAAAAAGAAAGTCTTTTTTCTATATTTGTGATTTTCTTTCTCTCTAGTACTAGTCATCGCTCAGAAAAAAGTGATATCAGTATTGGTGAAGAAATAGATGAGATTTCTGTGGGAACAGAAGAGTCAATTGCCAGTGATAAAGTATGATTATTTTAAAATTATTCTTCTTGATGATCTTCTTTTTTTCTTTAACCTTCCATGAAGGAATGTGCTATTATCACAGGCTTCTTGTATACGTGTTAAGATTGTATTATTTATTATGTTCTGTATTTTTACACCTAGTATTCCTGCCAAGTTAGATACAATACAGATTAAAAAACCAAACCAAAGATCTTGCAGCAGTTGTTCAGTAGCACAATTCACTGTCTGTTTCCAGGCATGTGAAATGTATTTGAGACTGGTTTAGTATCCCACATAGGAATGTCTTACCTTTATCTCAAGAACACCTCCTAAAGGAGCATGAAATCTCACTGAAAAGGCTTGAGGCCAAAAGGGTGGGATGATATATGAAGGACTACAAGAAGTAATGCTTACTGTTTCCATGATTTCTGACTTTGTGCTTCCATTTATTTGCTAGCTTGAAGGCATCACACAAGACCTTACTATTTCTCAGTTAAGTGATGTGGCCGATTATCTAGAAGACGTGGCATAGAATTGGACAGCAAAAATGTTTCATTGTGCTGTACTAGAAGACTGCTGTGGACTGTTAATTTCAGACAATCACTTCTTGCTGGAACGTCCACTCATTTGTGCCTTGTGTTTCAAAAAGACTGTATGTGGAGAAGGCTTTTAAATATTCTTAAGAAGAACTAAATGAAATATTATGTTCCCATATGGGTCTGATATTTTCTTCATTCAGTTCAGCCAGACCTTTTACAGCAGGAGGTGGATTTTCCACACAGAATGTCCATTGCTGGCAGTGGGCATAATAAAAACCAGTTGATAAGAGAACAGCGACAGAGAAGCATGTGGCTTTATAATAAACTTGCACTGTTATTGTAACAGTCTGAATTTTCTTTTTTTTAAGCTAACCAAAGCAAGAACCTTCAGAGGTAGTAGTTCAACTCACACTTCTTACCATAATTTTGTCAAGTCACTATGTAATACATATTTATGGTAACCCCAGCCACAATATCCAATTCCTTGAGACTTCCTTGAAACTGCTGGTTTTCAGACTTTTCTGAAAGTTGGACTTCTTTAGGCACATCACATTGAGAATTTTCAAACTCTCAAGACCAAATTTAGCTAAATTTAAGAGCTAAATTTACCACTGGTCTTAACTCGCACTATTCTTGTTTAAATATGTTTTTCAGACCATTGATGTTGAAGACCGAAGCTGGTTTTCTAAATGATAATTTCATTGGTGTTATCTGTCATGAAATCATACGAAGTAATTTTGTAAGGATCCACAAATCATTAACTAAATCTTAGTGGTTTTTAAGTTTTTAGCAATGTAGTAATGGTTTGTGGAGCTTTTATTACTGAGGGCTCTTCATGTGCTGTAAGCTCACTTTCTCAAAAATCCTTATTGTGTAAAAATGAGCGCCAAAAAGTGAAACCACTAACCTTGTTTTTCAGATTGACTGCTGTACAGAATTATATCTAAATATTTAAAAATACCATACAGAAGACATCACAGACACTAAGTTCTAGCTAGGAGCAAATTCTTATATTTTCATTATACTTTTGCAAAACAGGGTCAGTAATGGAAACACTGACAGTTCTTTGACAATACTGTTGTACATGGCGCTGCTATAACATATAGGTCATCGACATTTGTAATACTGAAACAAGACTTTAAAATGTGCACTTTCTGAACATTGTAAACACACTTGGAAAATATACATGTAAGTGAATATAAATACTTAATTTTGGGGGTTTTTTTAGGCTTTGTAATTTTTTTTGCAGGAACACTGTTGGCCGCTCATCAGTGGTCACCATGGTGGAAGTAGCATGCTAAATTAAAGCCATTGGTTAAGCATATAGAGCTGCTGCTAGCATTGGATGCTGACTTAAATCTTTGCACTGGGCCAGCAGGCATGGAGCAGTGCTGGGAAGTTAGGCTTGTACAGTACATAAATGATCTGAGAAGAGAGAAGAAAAGTGTGCCTTTTATTTGTGTGCACCCCAAAACAGCCAGCAAAAAGAATTAGAATACCTAGTCATGGTGTTAACTTCTAACTTTGTGCCATATTGTAGTAGCTGAACACGGACCAGATTTTCTTTTCAGCCCAAAAAATCAGTGTGCCATAGACTTCAAATAGCAGCTATGCTGTAACATATACACTCTGTTTAAAAAATAAATAAGTAAATCCCTGTAAGTATGGGGGAACCCGTGCCTCAAGATACTATGTATGAGAAGTTTGTTTGGGGCTGGTTTGGTTTTTTTTTTTGGGGTTTTTTTTTTTTTTGGGGGGGGGGGAATGTGTTGGGAAATGAAGGAAATAAATAAAATTCCATTTGAACACCTGGGAACAATTCATTTCTGGTATTTGTTTTTTTTAAGCTGTATGGAATAATGTAGAGGCAGTGGGGTTTCATTTTTGGGTTTTGGTTTTTTTTTTTTTTTGTTTTTAATATGTCTTTGGAAAACATGATGTTCTGTTAGCTGTAGGATATGGGGCAATTTATCATACCAAAAGAAACAAAATCTTTATTAAATGATTTCTAATTGCATTTGAAGATGTGGCCTTTTAAATAACTAATTAGGTATTTTAAGTGTGAACATGACTTTTGTTAACAGCAAGGTGGTGTTGTCTTACCTTGGGGGTTAATTGGATACCTTGCATTTTGGCTGTACTTTAAGGAAATGCCAAAAAGTATGAAGTGTCCATGCTGTTCCTCCCGTGGGCTTTTACTGAATTGTGTGTAATAACTCAAATTGCAAAATAAAACTGTTGTGCTGGCTGCAATTGTATTTTTGAGTCTTATTGAACCAAAGATCTTAAATTTAGGAAATTGAGGAAGCCCTGTGGGTTTTGGGGGGTTTTCTTGAAAACTGTTCTCTTCAAGGTTAGTCAGGTCTGCATTTGAGAATGCACGCCTGCTCAGGTTTCTTTTAAGTCTAAAGGATCTTGCAATTCCTGATGGCGAATCCTGAACTCTGGTGAAGACCAGACCAGATAGGGTTTCTGGGTGTCAGACTGAGTTATCGAGTGGTTTATGATTCAACAGACAAAGGGAAAGATAAGCCAATCTTGAAGTGTAGAACTGTGTTGTTTACAATTGTCAGTCTGAGTTACTGAAACATGACTGGCAAGCTAAGCTTTCTTGGTTGCTTGTGTTGCTCTACGTTTCAAACCACATTGTTTGGTATTTTACATTAAGCTTCTTCCTGAAGGACCTAATGCAGTCAAATACCCAACCTCATCTGTGTGAACCCCATCATAAAGAATGGGAATGTTCCTGTCTAACTGTTCTTCCATACTGCTTCTGCCTTTTTGCAGACATCTCTGTTCACAGAGAAGGAAGTGTCTGAGAGGGCCACTTAGGACTGGTTTGTGCAGTTCTCTACTAACTAGGTCTGGTTAGAAGCATGCTTTTTTGTTAAACACTCACACTCTAATTTGGTTAACAAATCCTGCAATTTCCAGAAGTAAAAAGTTCAGAACTAAGCTATGGCTGACAGTTCTTTATCGTTAACGTCGTAACGAGGGTGGATTTTGGAAACAATCCCTGTCTCACTTATTTTGTAGTGAAGTCACTGAATTACACCCATCGTTTTTTCCTCTTTTTTTTTTTCTTTAAGTGAAATGAGAAACCATGCACATCTGATAAAATTTCCTCATAAGTGATATTTTCATCAGCTGTAATAAAACCACTCTCACCTTCAGACTAGTTTGATAATTTAGTCCTTATTTACACAATATATCTAGCTCTCGAGGCAATTTAAATACCAGTGCAACTGACAAGGTGATTTGAGTGATGATGATAAAGAAAGGGGAGTTACTGCTCCATTTTCTTTCTAGCATAGCAATTTTCACTGATGAAATATTTTCTACAGAGCTCAGCCTTCTTTTCTGGAAAGAATGCGTCTGTGGATATTTCAGTTCAGTTGTAGCTAAAAGCTAACAAACTTCTGGTTTTTAGCATTGTCTAGGCAGCAGCAATTAAATCTTGCCAAGATGACTGTAGTGCATTGTGTTCATTTCAGGAAATGCCAGATGCATTGGTTTTAGTAGGTCTTTTTGGTCTGATGTTTTCATTGTAAGATAGAGCCAAAAGAGAAGTTGAACTGAATTACAGGAGGTGCAGTTTTGGTAGATTTGTAAGTCATCTCATTCATCTTGAAGCTACCTCTGCAGGCCATCTATAATGAATTCAGTACTGCAGAAATAAAACTTGCAACATAGGACTGGCTGTCTTGGATTTCTAACAAAAGAAAAAAAACAACAATTGGGCTGTTCAAGGTCTGAGATACGCAAAGACTGAAACTCTGTCAGAAATGCAACGAACACCAAAAAGTAGCAGTTCTTTTGTTTATATGTCATGAATGGTATTAAATTCTCCTCATAAAACGGGGGTGGAGGTGGTGGGGAGGCTAATGGCCAAAAGCCCAGTAACCTGGCTTCTGGGGTTGGTCTACTGGCATACTAAAATTTGTTGCTGTTGAGATTTTTTTTTATATATATGTATATTTATTTTTTTAATATGGAATAATGGGGAAAATGTGTGTACAGTATGGCACTTTGGAATATGTATATGATGTCTTAGCATCAGCCACAGTTCAAAACTTGTTGTGTAACTTTTCCCAAATCATTTATTCTTTTTAATATATTCCAGAGGGCAAAAGGTAAGTATATACCTTGCTGTTTAAAGAAGTGCCTATTTCTCAGGCCTCAAAATGCATCACCGTAGTTAAGTCCATTGTACCTTTTGGGGGAAAATCGGTCAATAAATAGATGAGTACAGAAAGAGGATGGAAAGTCATTCTATTTCACTAGAGCAGTCCTCATGCATTGTCTTGACACAGTAGCTGAGGAACAGTAGAGAGATCACAAACATGTTGAGCGCATAATTAAAAGGTTATTTTGGGGAACACTTAGTTCAAGGAACTGCATGTTTACTCTCTGTGTTGAGGTTTTTGGCTTGACATTTGACCTAGGGGAATGGCATGCTTTGTAAGCTCCTCAGAAAGGCTTTTTAAAGCTTTGTAAGCACAGTACAGGAGCAAAAATGCAGACCTGATACTTAGGAGCTGAATGAACTGCAGCTGAGAACAAAAAGCAATGTGAGGGGTTGCACACTGAGCAGGAAATCTAGTGGGGACAAGACAGGTGTGTATTAGGCTTCTGTTCCCTGCTCAGTGTGTGGTGCATGAGGAAACAGCCTGCCTGAGGGGAGCCAGCATTCATAAGGTGGGAGAAATGCAACTGAGATCTGAGAGATTGAGAGGGTTCCTGCTGGGTGCAGGGGAGCAGAGCAGGCTTGTATTTGTCTTGTTAACATCTGAAGATCACTGGGACTAGCTTGGGCAAATAGGCAGGAGCTGGTGGAAGACGGTGCGCAGTAATGCTATAGATGGTGCTTGAGACCAGTAAAGCACACAGTGATGGTGGTGATGAATCACAAGACAGCCCTTAGCACTAGCCAGAGCAACTACCCCAGCATATGGGAGACCTCAACCCAGACACAATCCTGAGGTGCAGGGAT